CTTCGTCTCAAAAAAAAAAAAAAAAAAAATTATATATATATATATAAAATGTTAATATTTTCAAAAATATTAAGGAAAATTCCTATTGTTTAGGGCTACCTATGAAAATATTTATGGATGAAATGATATGCCATCTAGAATTTCATTTAAAATCCTGCTGGAAGAATAGGTAGGGACATGGATGAAACAATACTGACCATAAATTAATAATGACTAAAGCTGAGTAGTGGGCAGATGGGATTTTATTGTGTGCAGTTTCACATTTCCCACAATCAGATAAAAATAAAACTAGCCATTCCTGAGACTTAAACACAGAAAGAAGCTCCCGGGGTCCCAGCACTGCTAACAGGGCTACGGCTTGCTGCAGACACCTTTATAAAAGGAGGAAGGGTGGGGTTGAATTCCTTCTAATTATTTTAATTCTTCAAATAGATAACACATTGACGTGGTTAAAAAATGAAAAAGTGTAAGAGGTTAGACTGGGAGAAGTCTCCTTGTCTCTGGAATCACCCTTTGGGGTCTTCCTTGCCACGGCTTTTACTGCCTACTCTCTAGAGGTGAACAATGTTCTTAGTTTCTTGTGTATCTTTCCAAAGTCATAATTAATCCCCCCCGACATCCCACATGTTGCTTTCCTGATTTAACACATTTGCATTTGGGAGATCTTTTCTAAGACGTTAGAACACATTTTTTTTTTTTTTTTTTTTTGAGACAGAATTTTGCTCTTGTTGCCCAGGCTGGAGTGCTGTGGCGTGACCTGGGCTCACTGCAACTTCTGTCTTCTGGTTTCAAGTGATTCTCCTGCCTCAGCTTCCCAAGTATCTGGGATTATAGGTGCCCACAACCACGCCCGGCTAATTTTTTGTATTTTTAATAGAGATGGGGTTTCACCATGTTGGCCAGGCTGGTGTTGAACTCCTGACCTCGTGATCCGCTCACCTCCGCTTTCCAAAGTGCTGGATTACAGGCATTAGCCAATCACACCGGGCCCTTATTTCTTTTTAAACTGCTACAAAGTTGGTATTCCTGAATAAGACAGTGTGTCTACTAGTTCCCCATTGGTGAGCATTTCTGGTTGTTTCCAGTCTCTTCCTATTGCAAACAGTGTTGCATAGTATCACCTTTACACATGCCACTTTGTATGTGTTCAGGTTCACCTTAGGGTAAGTTTATATGGAAGTATAACTAAAAAAAAAAAAAAAATCAAAGGGTACCTGCATTCATCATTGTGATGGCTACTGTTAAACTGACTTTCATAAAGGTTTGACCAATTTATTTCCCACCAACAATGTGTGAATTCAAAAATAAAATCCAAAGTCATGACCATTTACCTCCTTCCCTTTAGCAGTAAGTCTTTCTTCCAACATTAACGTTTATTTTCCTACTAACTGTCATTTCAAGTAAGATGGACCAAGGTAAAGGTGAGGAATTTACTTTAAAAAAGTAATCACAATTGTCCATACTTACGGTTTAATCTATATTTTAAGTATATAAAAAATAAACTAACATTTACTGAGAAGTCCCTGTGGTCCAGGCAGCTCTGAGCCCTTTCCACGTACTGAAAAACTTAATCCTAGCCTGGCCCTGAGGTCAATCCTATGACCAACTGTGATTTCGGATGAGGAAAGTAGCACAGATATGAGTCCCTGTCCCAGGTCCCACAGCTTGCAAGTGACAAGCAGATTTCAGATGTACTTCACCCTTTCCCTTGGCTGCCTATCTGCGCAGAGCTCTCTGAAGCGTTAGAAATTTAGATCCCAAGACACTTCCAATATTCAGTTCTCTTAGAGTAAAATGCAAGTCTAATGTTCAATTTCCAAACACTGGCTTGTCCTGCATTTTTAGGAATAAATTATATGCAAAAACATCCTCCTATCATAGGAAGATATCTACCATATTGGCAAACTGACTTTCAAGTCTGGACTTACAGTCAGGGATTTGATCCTGCCATGTAATAACTGGTTTCTAAAAACTTTACTGAAAAATTTAGCTTTCAACTCAAGTCATTCAACTCACCTTCCCATCTCACTCCCAAATATTATTTCCCCTGAATAAATCTGGAGTTTCAATGAAAATTGCCGCTGTTTTAGGGGGAAAAAAATTCCCAAACAAGCAGAAACTTCTAGGTGCAGCTTTCATTTCATATTCGGGTAGCATAGAGCTCAACAACTGATTCAACATCTCCATCAGGCTCTATACATTTAGCCATAAACCTTTCAACAATAAAGGTTGCATTCTTGTCATGCCTTCTGTCAACCTTTTACTAAGCTGCTCTGAAACGTTGCCCATCTGTCAAGGCTCAGGACACAATGTATAAACACCGAGCATCTGGGAAAGTCAGAAGTATTCTCAGGGGAATTTTATTTTTAAGACAATGGCCAAAACTTCATCAAATCTGCTTAACTAGTGAATGGACTTGAGAAAGTAAAAAGGCGAAATCACAGAAAAGATCAAGTAAAATGTTAGATCTTGGTAATGTTCTTTTGTAACTTTCCAGAGGATGTGTAGTTATTTGAGAGTACACAACTAAGGAGAACTAAGGAGTTTCTCAAAATAGATCCGATTCATTAAAAAGAGAGGGAGTGAGAGGAATCTGGGTTTCTTAAAAGAAAGAAAGTATAGGTTGTCAACTCCAGATAGTTTAGGAATTAGTATTTAATACTACACAAGCCACCAAAAATATGCCATCTGTTCCATAAGTCACCTTTTTCAAAGCATGTTCTCAGAAATAGTTTATGAAGCAAAGGTTCATGGTCAAATCTGGGAAAAGCTGGACTCAAGCCATCTCTTGGAAATGTGTCATATTAAAGCTAACCTGACCTTCCAACCTTGCTCAGCCATGGACTCTCTTTTGCTTTAACATTCCGGGGATCCCACTGTGGGTGCCTTCGCTGAGCACCTGGCCAGTGATGCCTCTATTCTAGCAATTGGTTCATCCTGCCCTGTTTCGTGGTTCAGTGTCCACATCTCTTCCTTGAACTGCAAAGTCTTTGAAAACAGCGCTGAGCACAGTGACTCACGCCTATAATCCCAGCACTTTGGGAGGCCAAGGCGGGTGGATCACTTGAGGTGAGGAGTTTGAGACCAGCCTGGCCAACATGGTAAAACCCCATCTCTACTAAAAATACAAAAATTAGCCAGGTGTGGTGGTGCGCACCTGTAATCCTAGCTACTCGGAAGGCTGAGGCAGGAGAATCACTTGAACCCAGGAGGGAGAGGCTGCAGTGAGCCGAGATGATGCCACTGCACTCCAGCCTGGGCAACAGAGTGAGACCCTGTCTCAAAAAAAAAAAGAAAAAAAAAAAAGAAGAAGAAGAAAATAGAGGCTGTGGCTTAGTTACTTTGTTTCCCCATAGCACTTAGTTCACCACTGAACTAAAGACCAAAAGCTCATCGGGGCACTCAAAAGTCAGGAAGTACGAACAGGTAAACAGGGACAACTGTGATGGGAATTTTTTTGGCACTTACTAAGTTTTTACCTGTGTTCACTAGAACACACAAAAAATAAAGATCTGTGTAAAAGGCTATCAATATCTCCATCAACAAGGCCTCAATTGGACCCCCCTACCCTGAGCCCACCCTAGAAAATTTTCCTTCCTTACCAATAATGGAAAGAAAAAAAGAAAGGCATATTAACATTTCTGGCCCAGGTGTGGTGGCTCATGCCTGCAATCCAAGCACTTTGGGAGGCCAAGACAAGTGGATCCCTTGTGCTTAGGAGTTTGAGACTAGCCTGGCCCACAGAGTAAAACCCTGTCTTACCAAAAACACAAACATTAGCTGGGCGTGGTGGCATGTGCCTGTAATCCTAGCTACTTGGGAGGCTAAGGCACGAGAATTGCTTGAACCCGGGAAGCAGAGGTTGCAGTGAGCTGGGACGGTGCCACCGTACTTCATCCTGGGCAACAAAGACTCTGTCTTAAAAAAAAAAAAAAGATAAAATTTCTGGCGTAGTCTGCCTACCCAGCCTCTCCCCAGTAGGACCTGCCTTCACACCCCTGGGGTCTGAAGGGCTGGCTCCTCTGGAACTAGGAACTTGCATCAACCCTCTCTCAATTTCTGCTGAGCAGCCACTGGTCTGGAGCTTCCAGCACTCATCAGCAAATCCTATGGTACCTCAACCAGCCCCCACAGTCCTGTACACCCAACATTGCTCTCATGTCATATAACAAGGTTGCCCTTTTCTTAACTCACACTGCTCCCCTTTCTCCAGACGGCCCAATGGTTGATGGAGAACAAAGTAATGATGCTTTACTTTTGTAGGGTATAGCTGCTACTGCAGCTGTACCAGCCTCCAAAAATGAGAACTAGATCCTGTAGAACCCTCTCCAGGAACTAGCCTTGGCAGCTTCTCTGAGACTGAGTCATCTTCTCAGATGCTCAGACTAAAGTGTGATGCTTAGACTACTGGCATCCAAATCTTTTTCTGAGACAGGGTCTTGCTCTGTCACCCAGGCTTGAGTGCAGTGGTACGATCATGGCTCATTGTAGCCTCAACCTCCCAGGCTCAAGCAATTCTCCCACTTCAGCCTCCTGTGTAGCTGGAACTACAGGCTCATGCCACTATGCCCAGCTAATTTTTTGGTATTTTTAGTAGAGAAGGGGTTTTGCCATGTTGCCCAGGCTGGTCTCGAACTCCTGAGCTCAAGCAAGGTGCCCACCTTGGCTTCCCAAAGTACTGGGATTACAGATGTGAGCCACCAGGCCTGGCCCGGCATCCAAATCTCTTGCAGAAATTGTTAAAAATGCAGACATCTGGGACCCATCCCAGAACTACTGGGTCAGAATCTCTGGGGGTTTAGTGCTCTGGAATCCATTTTCACAAGTTACAGGTAACTGATACACTTTGCAAAGCACTGCTTTAAAAGACTAGGTGAAGAAGGAAGAGTGGGAGGAAGAATGACTCATTGTGCTGTTATAGAAAAAAAATGTTCTTGTCACACGACCAGGAAAGATTAGGCTCATGGACACATAGAAGGGTGAGGAATGGAATTTACTGGGTGAAAAGGAAAAAGGAAAAACAACTCAGCAGAGTGAGATGGAATCCTGCTAATAGGCTCTCTACCTGACTGACTGAATCCCACCTCAGTACACAGGAACACGAAACGCCAGGCTCCTCCCTGCTGCCAATGGTGTGAACTTTCCAAGGCCCCATGCTGTCCTCCCAGTGCTCAGGTGGGCATTATTCAGAAAGAATCAGTTGGGAAAGAGTGGGCTTCATCCGGGACCAGCAGTCCGGTTTTTCAGCTTTCAGGCTGTTCTAGGCTTAAGATGGGGTTTCACTGGGGGCAGGAGTTGGCTGCCTCCTGTCTCCATTGGTGGTAGGCAGAATAATGGCCTCCAAGAGATGTCCATGTCCTGATCCTCAGAACCTGTGAATATGTTACCTTACATGGTGTGATATTGTGAAATAAGATGTACATTTTGGTCTTCATCCATGGTTCTTGCCTTATAGCTCCTAAAACCCTTATAATTTCCTAAGTGATTAGAGCAATAGGAGTATCTTTTATTATAAGATTTGGTCTTTTGTCCTTGGTTCCTGGAACACCTCTGGACCAATAAAGGTGAAAAGAAGTCTTGTTATTTAACAAGCCCCTTTCAACCACACCTGAGTTTATGTTAATAAGATGATTTCTGGAAAGCCACTAGATAACCACCACAGGATGGGGGGCGGTTGCTAGGGGCACAAATCATGTGATTAGAGGGTTAGAACCTTCAGCCCAGCATCCCAACCTCTGGGTAGGGGAGAGGGACTGAAGATTGAGTTGATCACCAATGGCCAGTGATTTAATCTAGCGTGCTTCTGTCATGCAGCCTCCATAAGATCCTCAAAGGACAGAGTTTGCAGAGCTTCCAGGTTGGTGAGCAAGAACACGTTCACATGCCAGGAGGATGGTGACCTCCAACTCCATGGGGACAGAGCTGCTGCTCCATGCCCCTGCCCACATGCCTTGCCCTGGGGACCCCTGCCTCTGGCTGTTCATCTGTATCCTTTGTAATATCCTTTACAGTAAATGTGTTTCCTGAGTTCTGTGAGCTGTTCTAGCAAGTGATTGTACCTGAGTGTGTGGCGGTGGGGGTGGGGGGAGATCACAGGAACTTCAATTTGTAGCTAAGTCAGACAGAAATTGTGGGTAACCTGGGGACTGAGAAAGAAAAGAAACTTTTAATCTGAGGAATGCAGCCCCCCTTTAAATTATCAAGCCTAGGGAGGCACTGAAATGAGACATTTCATTTCAGGGGTCACATCCTCCCGCTCTGAGCTTGAACTAAGTAATCATCTCCGAGTTGCTGTGCTACGAGGGCTCTAGACTGACACCACAAATAGCTATAAATTAACGTAATGATGCCATACACTGGACACCATAACCCATACCCTATAGTTCAACAATGTATAGCCAGTCACTCATCAACGTTACTTCTGAAAACCAAGGAGAGAATTCTTGAAAAACAATTTTTATAATCGCCCCTCCTCTGAGTCATCCTTTTTTCTTTAAAAGCTGAAGCTTCTCTTTTGTTCTCCAGAGGACTTCCCAGTGCTTTCCGGGCTGCAGTCATCAACTTATCCCAAACCAATTCTCTATCTATATTAATTTGCCTCAGTTTCTTCCTTTAGGTCAACAGGACCTACTACTTGCAATTGGCATTTGAAGTGGGTAGGGGCAGTCTTGTGGGACTGAGACTTCAACCTGTGGGATCTGTGCTAACTCTAGTTCCTGTCAGAATTGAACTGATTTATAGGACATCCAGCTGGTGGAGAATTGGTTGGTGTGGGAAAAAGAAGTGCACACGTGACCACAGAAGTGGGCTGATGATGAATACTAGAGAGGAAACAGGAGTTGTTCTATTCATGTGGCAAAGAGGACATTGCACATGTGATTAAGAATCTTAAAGTGAGGAAGTTCTCCTGGATTACCAGATGAGCCTGATATTGTCACAAGGGTCCACAAAGGTGAAAAACGAGTCGGGAGAGTCAGATTTGAAGATGACTTTGAAGATGGAATAAGGAGCCATGAGCCCAGGAAGGCAGCTGGAGAGACAAGGGAACCAATTCTCTCCTAGAGCCTCCAGAAGGAGTGAAGTCCTGCCAGATGGCAAATATTTTAAGCTTTGCAGCCATACGGTCTCTGTCACAATGACTCAACTCTGTCCTTGGAGCACAAAGGCAGCCATAGACAGTTCACAAGTGAATGGCTGTGTTCCAATAAAACTATTTGTAGACACTGAAATTTGAATTGCATATAATTTTTTACAAACTGCAAAATAGTATTCTTGTTTTAATTTTTCCACAGTCATTAAAAAATATAAAAGTCATTCTTAGCTTGTGTCATGGGGCGGGTGTGGCCTGTAGGCTGTGGTTTGCTGACCACCCCGATACCGTATATACTCTTTTGTGTCTGGCTTCTGATTCAACACAATGTCTAAAATTCATCCAGGTTGTGTACATTAGTAATTAACATTGCTGTGCAGTGTCCCATTGTTGACTATGCCACAACTGTTTATTCATTCACCTGTTGAAAGGTTCAATTGTTTACCTTGTCTTCATCATAATCATTATTAATTATTGCAATATTAAGCATATGCTCTAAAAATGTCCAGAATGAAAAGCAAAAATTATAGTAGCTTAGGTGTTTACCATTTTTTTCCAACTTTGTATATTTCCAAATTTCTATGTTTTCCTCCAACTTTCTACAATTCACAATTCTTTATACTTGTATGATATGAAAATGCAAACCAATCCCATAAAACAAGTCAGAGTATTTCCTAGTTTGTTTAGACATTCAGAGTCACACCTGGCACCACTCAAAAGCGTGAGCCCATAGCTGACCATAAGGATAATCCTGGCAGAGAAATTCTCAGGTTCCTGGGAGGAAATGGCGCACATGATTGCTGTGTTGAGCCTCGCAGTATGATTTCTTCCTTGCGCTGCAGGAAAATAACCCTAGGAGAAAGTAGTAAATGGCTATTTTTAAGCCGGCCTAGTTTACTTGAACTCATTTCTTCCTTTGGCACCCCTCATTGGCAAGGACAAGGCCTCCCATTAAGACGTTATTTACTGGATGGGAGATTTCTAAAGCATCTCCAGACAGTGTATCTACAGCTCGGGTATATGTTTTTTCTTGGAGCAAAAACACAGCTGAACTGTAAATTTAAGCTGAAGCCTGACAGTGTCAGCAACATCCCTTTGCTCTAGAATTCTGCCATGCTGGAATGCTGATGGGACCTTCCTTTGGAGAGCCATCTCCCAGATCTGCCCCCCACAGCTGGGTACCTAATTTCAAAGCCACACTTTAGCCTTGATAAACTCAATTTTTGGGGAAAAAACCCACAAAAATTTTTAAATCATCCACAGCTCCACTACTCCTTTCTACACATGTGAGAACAGTAAAAACCAGAATGGATGGATCTCTTGTGTTCACTTAGTCTCATCTTGAGATGTCCTTAATTTGCTTTCTCTTTTCTAAAAACTGACCTGTGACAATAAAGACTGGCTGTGAGAACCTCAAATGGTCCTGCAGAAAGCAGGGCTGACCAGGCAAGGTTGAGGGTGACTGAACTCAGTCATCTGATGCCTGGGGGGTGTGAACAGACATTCTCATCGAAAGTTCAGGATGCCCACAGTATGAGGGGGCCTTCCCTGCCTAAAGCTCCCATTCCCTACTGTGACTTGGGAAATCATAAACTGCAGGAACAGAGACAGGGCTAGCACAGGGTATGAACATCTGTTCTGGACTTCTGATGGACCACAGGCTCAATTAGAATAGCCAAGTTACTGAAAGCATGGCCGACCTTTGAGGAAAAGTGAGACACCTAGGTTCTGTAAGTCTGGAATACCACATGGACACAAGAGTCGAGCATGGGGGCATAAGAAAAAAATTGGTTGGCTGGGTGTGGTGGCTCATGCCTGTAATCGCAGCATTTGGGAGGCCGAGGCAGGTGTATCACCTGAGGTCAGGTGATCGAGACCAGCCTGGCCAAGATGGCAAAACCCTGTCTCTACTAAAAATATAAAAATTAGCCGGGTGTGGTGGTGCACACCTGTAATCCCAGCTACTCGGGAGGCTGAGACATGAGAAGCACTTGAACCCAGGAGGTGGAGGTTGCAGTGAGCTGAGATTGCACCACTGCACTGCAGCCTGGGTGACAGGGCAAGACTCTGTCTAAAATAAAATAAAATAAAATAAAATAGGTAAATTGGTTGAGAGCTCAGGCATGTTCTTGCCACAGCACCAAGTCTAGAAAGGCTCAGGCAATGCTCTGCCCCACCCACCATTTCTGTGAACCAGCAGTAAGTGTGTTAAGGATGCTTGTCTGGAGATGAGCAACTTGGTACACATGCATACATATGATCCAGACTCAGCACTCCCCAGGACACCGAGCTCTCACTAAGAAACATCCAATGATCTTTTAAACCTCCTGATTCTCCCAACCTCATAATGCCATAACCTCAGGGACGATGGCTGTCTGAAGACTGGGGCCAATCCCTTCCAGTCATGGTTGATACAGAGCTGCCACGATGACTTTCCAGCACAGGAACGACCATCTCTAACTGGTGGGGCTGCTGTGACCCCAAACTCTGAAAGAGTTTTGAACCTTAGGTTCCTAGAGGTGTTACCACCTTATTTTCATGTGACAGTTGCACCATAGGATCTAATGGATAATATATATTAAAGTTCACTAAGCATCATTGTGTCTATCAACCCATATTAAAATATATTAAGAGCAGATTATGTCTATTTTGAGTACCTCAAAAATACCTTGCAGTGTTCTAAGGGCTTTCCATGTATTCTTATTTAATTCTCATCATGATTCTGAGGTAGGTACCATAATTAGTTCCATTTTACAGATGGAGAAACTGAGACACAGAGAGGTGAAGTCATGCTGAGGTCATGAACAATGAAACAGCCCTGATCTCATGCCTTTTCCAACTCTAGCGCACTCTCCACTGTCCCATCCAAGCAGCTAAGTTCTGGAGAAGAAACTGCGGGGTGGAAATGCTTAGCTGTGTGCTCAAGAGCTCTCCTGCAATTGTTTTCTTTTAAGCATAACCATGCATATGGAGAGAGACTTTACATAATTGTTTTTCTCTATAAAGACAACTCAATATATTCTCTGTAGCTTGATTTTTTATTTCTTCACAGTATATCACTAACATCTCTCCCACTGTAGACATGAATCTGCTTCTGCATTTTCTGATGCTGTGGAAAGGACGACCATTTAGTCTGAATGTCTCCTCCTCCCTGTGCTAAGTTAGAGACAAGGAGTCGGTAGAGTCTGAAGGAGGTGTGACTCTTTCATCCTGAAAGGATGCTTAAGTCTCTTACAATAACAATTAAATGGTAAGGAAAAATCCTCGACACCCTGTGGTGTCTTCTATTTTCTGCTCTCTTCTCTTTTTGAATTGAGCCACTAAAAGGAATGGTCTTAACTGGGTATCTCAGTATTCTCTTGGCTTCTCTGAGCCTAAACTCTCTTAAATGCTTTAGCTGACTTATTTCCCTTTGCCCGCTCCTTGACCATGGCCTGCCAGGGCCCTCTCCATTTGTACCTTTGCCCCAGACAGGCTCTCAAAGTGTGGTCCCAGACCAGCAACATCAGCATCACCTGGAAGCTTGTTAGAAATGCAAATTCTATGGCTCCACTCCAGATCTACTGACTCAGGAACTCTGGGGGTGGGGCCTGGTGACCTCCGATTTAACAACCTTCCAGGTGATTCTGATGCAGCTAAAGTTTGAGAACCATTGCCTTAGACAAACCCACCCCCAGCAGTCACCCCCTCCCATTGACTGGAAAGTCCCACATCTTCATCTTCAACCTTAACTTCTCTTCAAGCTACGCACCTACATATGCAAGTATGCTCTCTGGACATCTCTGCCTTGCCACAGTCTCCTATACTCAACACTGCCCAAAAAGGACCTACTTCTCATCTCCTCCAAGATCTGTTCTTTCTCCCTTATTCCCAGCAACTCATGCCAACACCATCTCCCCACCTACCCAAGACAGAAACCAGGAAGTCATCCTAGACTCCTGCTTTTCCCTCATCCAGTCAGCCACCAGGTCGGGTTGATTCTACCTCCTCTCCCCCTTTTTTTTTTTTTTTTTTTTTTTTTTTTTTTTTAAGACAGAGTTTCGCTCTTGTTAGCCAGGCTGGAGTGCAGTGGTGTGATCTCAGCTCACTGCAACCTCTGCCTTCTAGTTTCAAGTGATTCTCCTGCCTCAGCCTCCCGAGTAGCTGGGATTACAGGCGTCCGCCACCGCGCCCAGCTAATTTTTGTATTTTTAGTAGAGACGGGGTTTCACCATGTTGGCCAGGCTGGTCTCGAACTCCTGACCTCGTGATCCGCCTGCCTCGGCCTCCCAAAGTGTTAGGATTACAGGCGTGTGACATTGTGCCTGGCCTCTTCTCTCCATTTTTATAACCTTAATTCAGGTTCTCAGCTGGCCTAAGTCAGCTTCCAATGAGGCACCCAAGGACCTAACGTAGTATCTGTCTTTTCCACCCTCACACTCTTGCCAAGATAATCCCTCTAAAACATGAGTCTAAATGCATTAACCCTACCTAAAACTCAAGGTTGCCCACTAAACCTTAGCACCAAGTCCCAGCTTCTCAACAAGGAAGTCCCCAGTCTCATCTCCTGCTGTTCCTACAGACATTCCAGATAGATGTAACCACATGCCTCAGCAATCTTACTCCTGAGAATATAGCTCCCAAATTATCAAACAGTTCCATAAGGTGACTTGTACAAAGATATTTATCACAGCATCCAGAGTTGGAATCAACTTTGGCTTCCATCACTGGAAGAGTGAATAGGTAAAAGGTGGTGGATGCATACTCTGACTAATCAATGGCTCTAATTAAACTCCCTATGCAATGTCACTTTTCAGCTCCTCCCATCAAGTGGTGGAGTCTATTTCTCCACACTTTGAATCTAAATTGGACTTGTGGATTGGACTCATGCCTTGGTTTAGCCAACAGAATATGGCAGAAATGACTGTGTTCAAGTTCCAAGTATAGGCCTTGAGCAATTCTCCTCCCTTGAATTCCTGGCCTTGCCATCAGGTAACCAAGCTCAGGCCAAACTGATGAAGGATAGCAATAAAGTGCCATGGCCCTCTTAAATCATGCAGTCTCCAGCAGATCACAGAGGAATGAGTGACACCAGCTGAGATCAGCCGACCCAGACACTAATCAGCCAAACCACTCAACCAACCCCACAGACTCATGAAA